CATTGCCTAAGACACTCTTGGGACAGAAAGACAGGTACCCAGGTGGAGCCATTAACACTGCATTCTCTACAAACCATATCTATCCCCAGCTAAATAGTTGTATGTACTGTTTAACCCTAGGGACTAGAGGTAAGAAACTACAAGACTAATATTTTCTGCAGTATTTACAGTTTCTTTTATATTTATGTACTTAATTAGTAGACTTTATAACATGAATCTTTCGGGGGCAAGGACCAGAAAAAGAACTCTAGTTCTCTAAAACTAAGTGGAATTGGCTTAGATAACAGAGCCCCGGAAATAGGATTGGCTTCAGAAGAGATACGATCTGGAGGCCCAGTTTGTCCTTCAGCTCTGTTCTCTGTGATTCTTTCATATTTGTCCCCCTCTGAGTGTTGACCTCTTTCTCAGGCTGGCTCTTGTCGGGGCAGTAAATGTCATGGGAGTAGTTCCAGATTTTGTACCTCCTACACAAAGAGAGAACAGAATTCCTGGTTGGGTCCATAAACCCCATGGATTTTGTTGTATCTCCTTGGCTTGAATTATGGGTCCGTACTTGAGCCAATGGGATTAGACTGATTGGCTTTAGTTACTGGGTTTCAAATCTGGAACCCCTTCAAAAGATTCTGATTTTGTTGGCTTGGGAGGTGGATCTCATGCACTGGTATTTTTAAATGCTTCCTGGATTATTCTAAAATACAACCAAAGTTGAGTTTGTTGGTTTAAGCCAATCGGTGTAACACTAAGGGCTAAGAATGTGAGTGACTGTCCTCCAAAGGAAAATTTAGGTGACCTTGACACCCAGATTGACAGAAGAGGAACGCAGATGTTGGGGGAAGCAAATATCAAATGCTTGCTGGTGGCAGACACATTAGTTGCAGACGCGCTAGCTGCCCCAGTGTCCGAATCCCTCCTTTCTTCTGTGCCACCGGGACCCAGCCTTGGTTTGGGACAGCTGTAGGGGACAGATCATGAATCCCATCAATAAGCTGTTTCCCTGCTTCTCCTGATCTGTTAAGTGCTAAAAAGGAGAGAGGTGGGGTAGAGAAAAGGCAGAGCTAAATTAATCTTTTTATATAGCATAAAGTACAAAGACAGTTTAAAATAATACTGGAGGAATTGGTAGTGTAAGCTACCAGAAAAGGAGGAAGAGGAGGAGGAGAAGGGGAGGGCGAGACGGAATAAGAAAAATTCAACTATGGCTACCTCTGAGAAATAAGACGCGAAGAGAATAGGAAAGCAAACTTTGAGTTTTCATTTTATACTCATCTGTTCAGTTTGAATTTTTATTTCTGTGTGATTATGTTATTTTTGTCATTAAAAATAAATAGACCCCTTTTGAAGTTGTTCCTAAGAGCTTAAGATGGTTATGTGATCTGTAGTTAGAGTTCTTAAATTGTATAAATCACCTTTTTAACAAGAAGTAAGCAGTACTTTTTCACTGTGCCTTTGGTGCTCCACCTCACAATACTGTAGTATGGATAAGCATAAGATGATCCCAGGAGTTAAAATTGGAACTCAAGGTCAACACCAGCTCATGGGATCTAAACTGGAGGACAACTAGCCATACAGATGGTTTGCCGGAGGCTGGAGTTTCGCTCTGCCTTTCAGGTGGTTGCCTCACCCTTCTTATCTAATTGCCCTAATCTGATTTGGCCAACAACTGGCGAAGAGAGAAATCTCAAGAATTCAGCTATAAGCATCTTTAGTGATTTATTTTCAATCACATGTTTTCCAGTTTGTCCTGGTTTCCAGTTATCTTGTGAAATTAATTCCGCACTTTCTTTTTCTTTCACCTTTGCTGATTTACTCCTTGTTAAAGTTGTGGGCCATAGCATCACATGGGCCACGATGTATTATTTCAGAAATTAGAAAAACAAAAGTTTATTTTAGAAAATGAGGCTTTCACTTCTGATGCCTAGTAGGTTTGAGTTTCCCCTCACTGGTGAAGAAGATTTAACTAGTCTTTAAATTGTTACTTCCAAATTATTTGTCTAAAGACAAATTGTTACCATTTAAAAATTATAGAAGGATAGCATTTGTTTTTCTCTTAGTAGTAGGGAAGACGAGTTAGTTTCTTAAATTGTAGGCAGATTTCATAAATCACTTTTTATTTGTCACTTTAGGTTCTGTTCTTTGGGGTTAAGTGTTAAAAAGGAATTAAAATTCCCCTCTTAACAGTTATTTTACCAAAACCCAATTCTTAGGTAAAATACTCCCTGAACTTCTACTGGTATTAGAACTTTAAATTTTGCACAAAACTTCCAGATACTTTCATATGATTATCCATGTCTATTCTGTCAAAAGAAGACAGTGATCATGTGGATATAAGAAACGCATAGCTTCATTCCACTGAGCTGAACAAGCTGGTCTCCTGTGCAGGCCAGTCGATCTGTCATGTGTGGGTCCATCCTTAGTAACTGAAATTGTCACACTGTTGCTTCTCCATCAAACACTGTATCAGAGTCACAGATGCTGGATTTGTAAAACATTTAGTGTTGGTGTCTAGGAATAACTGCTAAATGACCAGCAGGAAGAGAAAGATTAAAAAGAAAAAGTCTGAAGCCTGGACCACCCAAGGATAACCACGTCTCTGAAAAATAGAGATTTGGCTACACTTAGTTGACGGAACAGGTCTAAGACGTAAATAAGCCTAAGAAGCTGAATGAAAAATTAGCAGAGACCTTTAACTGTAAGTCAGTGAAGCCACCTAGTGGTCTGTCGCAGAATTTAAGGTTGTGTGAATGTAACTGGACACACAGAGGGGCTCTCATCCCTGGGATCAAGAGTCCCACCACTTTTTGTCCAGCAAAGAGGAGGGTCAGCGTTGTTGAGAACAAGCACAGCAATGCTCTGTGAAATATCTTATTTATTTCCACACCTCCTTTTATCAAAAAGGGTTTAGTGCAACTTGCATGAAAATACAGTGTGATAACACACGCTAGGAGATAAGAAAGAGAACGAACATGAATAAGGACATAAACAAAGATGCTGATTAATTCGAAAACACCTTTCAGTTTTTCGCGACAGGACTCTACCTTTGTATGCAAGTGTGAGAATTGATCACTCACCAAATTCACAATGTCTGGAAAGGTGAAGTAATTTTCAGGGAAAGAAAAATTGTACTCACTGCCGAGAGCACAGCAGTGTTTCTCCTGGGGCTGCACGAGACGCGGCGTATTGCCCTGTGTAATGTCCTCAGGTCCTCATAACAGAAACCGCCCGAGTCTTGGAGGATTGTTTCCTTACTGTGTCCACAGTACTTGGAGGACAATGCCCATCTGCTGGGTTTACATGAACTCATTTGAGCCTCTCAAGACACATGCGGTGAGGTGGTGTTACTAACCTTATATTGCAGGTGAGGCCCTGCCATGAGTGAGGTTATGAACTGGCCCAGAGTCAGCTGTTAATAAATAAACGTTGGAGTTGGGACCCAAACCCGGGCAGTCTGGCTCTGGCACCCACGCTCTTTTCCATGATGCCACACACTGAATGACTGATTTAGTATGATAAGGCCCATCCAGGGAAAACGGCAGTACTTCAGGTTTTCCCCTGGTGACTTACACAGTCTCCAGGGCCTGGCACAGGTGCGCTTTATCATGGTGATGATGCATAGGAGGTCAGGGTAACGTGTTTCTGAGATGAAGCAGTGAACTTCACTTTCTTCTACGGCCACAGGCTTTGTCCCTGACCCCAGTTGCCATAGTTGTGAGCACCTGCATGTGTGTGCAAGCCTTTGGTCAAAAACAAAAACAAAAATAAATCAGGAGAGAGTACTCAAATCCCCCACTTCTGAACTTCTGGGATGTAGCTGAAATCCCTGACCTCACCATGCGCGTCCTTAGATACAGATCTAAAATGCATTTGTAACAAAACACTGTATTTTGCTAGTTTCCCTTTTCCAAGTGGTATCATTAAATGTTTTGAATGGCAGCTAAATTGAATTCTCTTAACCAGCCATGAAAGTTGATTAGCAATGAACAAGGCAAACCTTAAAAGTGGCTTGGTAGGAAAATAATAGCATCATCGAAACATTTTCAGGGAGAGCAGTCAAAATATCATACAACCTGAGTCTTAAATTGAGTATTTTAGAATGATGTTCTTTTAAGCTGTGCTTTAGGATAGTTGTGTGGTTTTGCTAAGAGAAAAAGGTATATTTTACAAAATGACTGTTCCATCTAGGTAAAGCTCCTTAAAAACCAATTTCAATGACATGTGAAAGACATACTCAGTAAGACATAGCTCAGTAAAGAGTCTAATGCTCCTGAAAGATTCACGTTCTATTTCGGAGTCAACATGATGGCCTACAACCCCAGAGGCAAGGTTTCAGAATGATAACCTGTGGCAGTTCTGCTCGGTGCCTGAAAGATTCTCCTGTCATGAGCATGTGAGTGAGAGGGAACCACACTGAGACCCGATGAAGGAAGCATTGGCTGGGAAGGAAGACGCTCGGGACTCCTAGGTCTACGTATATATTCTTCTTATGTCATTTTTCTCATGAACTTGGGAGTCAGACCTGGATTCAAGTATAAATTCTGACACTCATTAGCTGGATGATGTTGGATTAGCCAATTAACTTCTTTGGCTCTCAGTTTCTTGATCTGTAAAATGGCTTTAATAATACACGGATTTTATTGGTGTCCTCTGTGTGCAGGTATCGTGCTTTTGTATACCTTTAGTCTTTATGACAGTCTTAAGTGGGATGTTTGCATTTGTTATCCCTCCTTTACAGGTGAGATTATGGAAGTTGCAAGACTAGTTACTTTGAAGAATGTAGTTAGGATAATTCATGTAACGTGTCGTATCTGCTGCTACGTGGCAGATTCTCCAGAAATGGTAGCCTGTGTTTTCCCCTTGACTCTTGTCTCTCCATCTCCTTCTTTTCTCTTAGATCCACTTCGAAGTTTAATGAAGAGGAGAAACACGTGTTTAAAGAATTTAAGTGTGGGATTTGCATAGATGTTTAGGCCAGAGAGTAAAACCGAATTTTCATTCTCCTACAGGAATGGCAGAAACTCAACTATGATATCTACAGCCTGCGACAGATTCGGAGGAAAGTGCGAAACAAATGGAAACGCATTTTAGAAGATTTGGGTGAGTCTGCCCGTGATTGTGAAATGGTGAAAATGGGCGGTTGGGGTCCTTCCTCTTCACGTTCTTCACCGGGGTTTTTGTAAAAGGAGTGTCCGTAATTGACGGCTTAAGGCTGTGGTGTGTGAATTATTCCCCCAACCCTGTCCTCCCGCCTCCTCCAGCATAAACATCCAACCTTTCTCTCATCACCGGCTTGTGTCTCGAGGCCACGTTTTGCCCCGTGTTACTCCATCCGTCCTCAATGTCAAGGAGCCCAGGGCAGTGGGATCATATCGGCACTACCACCTAGTTTTGGGGGTGTAGTACATTGACTGAATTAGCTGGGAGTAATTGACCGATGAATAATAGCTTTATAAGATGAGGCAGGTCGGGAGAGAGATATTTTTGTAAGCAACCGTTTGTTTTTTTTTTTTGGTAAGAGTACGACAAAATTTATATGAACTTTCAGAAAGACTACAAGGCAGAAAAGCTTCAAAGGTGGGGAAAAATCCCTGAGGCATTAGAGTAGATACTCCGTATTGATTTTTCTTAATTCTGCTAGGGTTGTGATATGATAAACATGGCCTTCATATTGTAAAATAAACTCCTTTTAATGTTTAAAAATTGAATTTATAACTTTGAAGTCTTCAGTCCTTCCACTTTGAAAGAGAGCAGGACAGCTTGGCATTATAACTTTTCAAAAGTGGGGTGCCCGGTTGCTTTCCTTGGATGCAGTGGGATGGGGTGGACTTCCGCCCCCTTTACTCTCCCAGTGTTGGTGGGCTTTATTTAATAGGCATCTTTTTAAAAATCTAATTCGCTCCAGGCAGGTTTGAATCTATGAGTCCTTGATACCTTTGGGTAAGTACTTTTAACCAGCCAACCATATTGCCTTGTCAAAGGGAACCTGGGATTGGAGAAGGAGGGACGTGGGAGGGACTGCTCTTTGGCCTCCAAGCCACAAAGGCAGGTGGGCATTCTGGGGGCAGCGGAGGAGGTGAACAGTAGGTGGGGAAGGGCCTGCAACCAAAACAGCCAAGCAGGTGGTGGACGAGTGTCTGAGGCTTAACTCTGAGGAAAGAGTTAACAAAGGAAGTTCAACAAGAAGAGATGTCCAACGAATTTGAATGAAAGTGCCAGCCAGTCCCCCTGAGCTGGGGAGACAGTGCCTCTGGCCTCCGTTTTCTGCATTGGTTCAGAATCCACATTTGGGTCCCCTCGTCTCCTGCTGGCGCCCAACGGCAGGGCAGTCACTCCCCCTGACCACTTCCCACAACAGGTGCATTTCTTTGGCCTCAGGTTTTCAAAAGGAAGCAGACTCTTTGCTGTCGGTGACCAAACTCAGCACCGTCAGTGACTCTGAGAACACGAGGAAAGCGCGAGAGATGTTGTTGAAACTGGCCGAAGAGACCACGATCTTTCCCGCGGGTTGGCAGCTCTCGGAGAGGTATCTCTTTGTGTTGGTAAGTGGAGGCACTTTCTCATCTACCCTGATTTTGCTTTCAGTTTCTGCCTTTCTGTGATTCCATTTCCTCCTTCCTGCACCGCCCGGCAACACCACAACAGGAGGGAGCAGGTGGCACTGGCATCCTGAGCCCTGGTTTCCAGTGGCGGCAGCGCCGGAGCCACCTGGAGGGCTTCACAAACCCTCGTTCTGTCTGGGGCAGCAGAGCCCCTTCCCAGCTCACTGGACCCCAAGCCGAGGGTGGCAAGCCAGTTTCAGAAGGGGGCTTTCGACACGTAAATTGGTTTGGTGTCGTGAAACGATCCCCCTTGCATGGATAAGGCGGAAGGATTTATTTTGGTAAGATTTGGCTGGAAGTGAAAATAAGCAGCGGCTTCAATAAAGTTGACATTCGTTCTCTCTCTCATAGAAGTGGAGAGGCAGTCCATCCAGGGCTGGTACAGTGCCCCACGGTGTCGGTGACCCAGGTTCCACTCCTCTGTGGCCCCACCATGGTCGGTGCTGGCTGCTCCTGCCACATGGCTGCCATTCCAGCCACCAGAAAGCAGGAAGGGATGAAGAGGGCGCACTCCCTCACTTTAGAGATGTGCCTCCAAAGTTACTCATGAAAAACCAAAAATAAAAATTTAGATTTCTGGGTTGCACCCAGACCTATGGAGGCTTGGATTATGGCTCAAGAATCTGTTTTGCAATCAGTTCTGCTGTATAGTCAGCTTTTTAGGTCAGAGATATGAGAAATATTTTGTACATAACCTAAGATTGAGAAAGATTTTGAGCCCTGGCTGGTCTGGCTCTGGGAACTGAGCACGGGCTGCAAACCAAAGGGTCACCAGTTCGATTCCCAGTCAGGTCACATGCCTGGGTTGCTGGCCAGGTCCCTGGTGAGAGGGTGCATGAAAGGCACCCACACATTGATGTTTCTCTCCCTCTCTTTCTCCTTCTCTTTCCCTTTCTCTAAAAATAAATAAATAAAATCTTTAAAAAAAGAAAAAGAAAAAGAAAAAGAATTTGAGAGGACTCCAAGAGTGGTGGGATATTTTGTGGATAATGTAAGGAAAAGATTAAGGCGTGTCTCTAAATTTGTTGAGAAAAATTTAATAAATGTTTCCTCATTATTATTTCTAGGGTGGGTTTGGTTATTAGATTGGTTTTCCCATCAGTAGGGCTTGGTTTCCATCTTGACAACATTTTTGTGTTTAATTTTTGGCAGGACCGTCTCATTGCTCTCGATGCTGCAGAAGAGTTCTTTAAAACCGCCTGTCGAACTTACCCCAGGAAGCCTGGGCTGCCGTGCCTGGTGGATGACCAGAAAGAACCGAGCTGCCTTCCACTCCTAAGTCCCTAGAGGAGACACTGGGAGGTGGAGTTGGAATTCTTGCACTGGACCTCCAACAGCCAACCAAAGCCGGACTGACGAGTGTAGATAAGAGTGAGCAAGTGGAGGTCTAAGTGAAAAACAATTCCGAATCTTACAAAAATCTGAGGATTTGGACATCTGGTCTTCACGAGGACTTATTCTGTGAGATGTTCAGGTTGCATTACAACACCCCGGTGATGCAATTTTTGCATCGAAGAGTTGGCCAATGGGATATTTCATCACGGGTGGATGGATTCCAAGAACCCATTGGCCTCATTCTGGTTTGGGTTGTATGATAAGCCTTAATCATTAATCCTGTTGGGAGAAGGGGATATTCTGGTTAGTAAAACGGCAAGATTAGTGGAGAGAGCTCTCAATGAGCCCAATATGGATTACCAGTTTTAAAATAATTATTATACATATAGGCTAATACCAAAATAATACCAGGTACTGTGTGACCATTCTTTAATTTGGAAAAACCTACAGAACCTAGGAGAGTGTCAGAGGCATCATTTTAAGTATCAGCTGTAATAATTTAGAAGTACAGATGCACCAGATAATAGAAATGTCTGAGTGCTGCCCAGACAGGAGGTACGGACAGAATGATCCCAAGCAGAACATCCTATAGCTACATATAAAAAACTCTGCCTTCAGTTATGGTACACACATCTTAAATCTCCAACACAATTGGTATCTGGTTACCTCCTTTTTGCATACTGTCCAGTCTAATCCAAAAGCTCTTGATATTTCATCCAGGATAATATCTATAAACAGAAATATTTGGCCTCTCCTTCCTTCAAGAGTTACTTGCCCCTTAAGCAGGGAGCTTGCCAAGAAATCAGGGTTCATTTTATTGAAAAGACTCAGAACTTGCAGGGTTCATTAGTAGACTGCTGTGAACAGTGATGATATTGTCACTTTTACAGATTTTGCTCTTCTGACTTTAGGCTAAAAAGTAACTGTTTTTAGTCTGACCCAGGGAATTATGACTTGAAAATACCCGTACCCTGACTAGTTTCTTTGGTAGTGTACGCAATGTTTAAATTATTTGTTAGAGGAGATATATGTTCTCCATTATTAATGACTTGCAGACCAATTTAACTGATTCAGTTAGAAAATTTCCCCCTAGTTTCATAATAAGCTAAAAGCCTTATTTTTTTAATATTTAGTGCCCAATCCCTTTCATATTGTTTAAAATTAGCCTGCAGATGTTTCCCCTCACTTTGCTGGACTCTCGGGAGATAAACATACAAACAGTGAAATAGACAAGATAAAAAACAAACAATAAAATTAATTAAAAAAAAGAAAAAGCATTGTTTTCTTCTCCTCGGAATTTGTGTTTTGTCTTGCTTCCTGTTCATTGTCAAAATACATGAGATTGTTTGCATCTATGGAGAGTGAAGTGTAACCATAGTCTTTATTTTTGGTAATGAATGACTAAGGATAAGATTGTGTCTATGGTTATAAAATCACATGGGATTAACCAGGAAATCTTCCTTGAAAGGAAGTAAAAGCTTTCTGTGTTCACTTTGCATTTGGATGTGTGTTTTATTTCCGAGAAATAGGAAGGGCCAATATGCTCTCCATATACCCTTTCAATTAAAGGTGAACAAGCTGAGAGACCGACAGGTTTAAGGACCTGCCCCCCTTCTAAAGCCAGTGAAGGGGCAGCTCTGTGCACAGGTGCAGTGCTAAAGCCAGCGAAGGGGCGGCTCTGTGCGCAGGTGCAGTGCACACTGCAGAACATGGGAGAGGCCTGTGGGCGACTGAAGTGGCCACTTTTGAAGTCACCAGGTGCTCGGCCGGACCAGGATCCGCAGCCGTCTCCCTGTTGGCTACTGAGTGCCTCTCAAAGTTTATCTGTGAATGCAGGGTGATGTTGGGTGGTAGAGGATGGAAATGTTCATATTAATAGTTATTTATTTTTAACGTGTACCAAGAGGAAAACTCTGTAATTAGCAGATTCAACATCCGATTTCATTATAATGGCTATTAATTATTGCACTAAATAATAAACTGTGTATTTATTTTATTTTTTACTTTTTATTGAATTAATTGAGGCGGCATTGGTTAATATAGTTATATAGGTTTCAGGTGCACATTTCTATAATACATCAGCTGTATGCTGTACTGTGTGTTCTCCACCCCGAGTCAAGTCTCCTTCCATCAGTGTTTATCTCCCCTTTACCCTCCGGTCCCTCCCCCTGCCCTTTCCCTCTGGTAGTCACCACACTGTTGTCTGTCCATGAGGGTTTAGGGTTTTTTTCCTTCATCCCTTCCCCTTTTTCTCCCAGCCCCACAACTCCTCGCCCCTCTGACAGCTGTCAGTTTGTTCTCTATGCGCCTGTTTCTGTTTTGCTTTTTAGTTTATTTTGCTCATTAGATTCCACCTATGAGGGAAAGCATATGGTACTTGCAGTGTTTATGCTTTTTCAAGGGAGCCCTGCAGAAGGCACAGTGGACACACCGACTGAAGGCGCAGTGGGCACATTGACTGGAGGTGCCATGTCCACGCCGACAGAGGGCACAGTGGGCACACCGACTGGAGGCTCCATGTCCACACCGACTGGAGGCGCAGTGTCCACACCGACTGGAGGCTCCGTGTCCACGCCGACTGAGGGCACAGTGGGCACATCGACTGAAGGCGCAGTGGGCACACCCACTGGAGGCTCCGTGTCCACGTCGACTGAGGGCACAGTGGACACACCAACTGGAGGTGCCATGTCCACGCCGACAGAGGGCGCAGTGGACACACCGACTGGAGGTGCCATGTCCACGCCGACAGAGGGCGCAGTGGACACACCGACTGGAGGCGCAGTGTCCACGCCGACTGGAGGCTCCGTGTCCACGCCGACTGAGGGCGCAGTGGACACACTGACTGGAGGCGCAGTGTCCACACCGACTGGAGGCGCAGTGGACACACTGACTGGAGGTGCCATGTCCACGCCGACAGAGGGCGCAGTGGGCACATCGACTGAAGGCGCAGTGGGCACACCCACTGGAGGCTCCGTGTCCACGTCGACTGAGGGCACAGTGGACACACCAACTGGAGGTGCCATGTCCACGCCGACAGAGGGCGCAGTGGACACACCGACTGGAGGCGCAGTGTCCACGCCGACTGGAGGCTCCGTGTCCACGCCAACTGGAGGCTCCGTGTCCACACCGACTGCAGGCGCAGTGTCCACACCGACTGGAGGTGCCATGTCCACGCCGACAGAGGGCGCAGTGGACACACCGACTGGAGGCGCAGTGGACACACCGACTGGAGGTGCCATGTCCACGCCGACTGGAGGCTCCGTGTCCACGCCGACTGGAGGCGCAGTCTCCACACCGACTGCAGGCGCAGTGTCCACACCGACTGGAGGTGCCATGTCCACGCCGACAGAGGGTGCAGTGGACACACCGACTGGAGGCGCAGTCTCCACACCGACTGCAGGCGCAGTGTCCACACCGACTGGAGGTGCCATGTCCACGCCGACAGAGGGCGCAGTGGGCACACCGACTGGAGGCTCCGTGTCCACGCCAACAGAGGGCGCAGTGGACACACCGACTGGAGGTGCCATGTCCACGCCGACTGAGGGCACAGTGGACACACCGACTGGAGGGTCCGTGTCCACGCCGACTGAAGGCGCAGTGGACACACTGACTGGAGGCTCAGTGTCCACGCCGACTGAGGGCGCAGTGGACACACCGACTGGAGGTGCCATGTCCACGCCGACAGAGGGCGCAGTGGGCACATCAACTGAAGGCGCAGTGGGCACACCCACTGGAGGCTCCGTGTCCGCGTCGACTGAGGGCACAGTGGACACACCGAGTGGAGGCTCCGTGTCCACGCCGACAGAGGGCGCAGTGGACACACCGACTGGAGGTGCCATGTCCACGCTGACAGAGGGCACAGTGGACACACTGACTGGAGGCTCCGTGCTCACGCCGACTGAAGGCGCAGTGGACACACTGACTGGAGGCTCCGTGTCCACGCCGACTGAGGGCGCAGTGGACACACCGACTGGAGGTGCCATGTCCACGCCGACAGAGGGCGCAGTGGGCACATCAACTGAAGGCGCAGTGGGCACACCCACTGGAGGCTCCGTGTCCGCGTCGACTGAGGGCACAGTGGACACACCGACTGGAGGTGCCATGTCCACGCCGACAGAGGGCGCAGTGGACACACCGACTGGAGGTGCCATGTCCACGCTGACAGAGGGCACAGTGGGCACACCGACTGGAGGCTCAGTGTCCACGCCGACAGAGGGCGCAGTGGACACACCGACTGGAGGTGCCATGTCCACGCTGACAGGAGCCACCCAACTGAGGGCACAGTGGACACACCGACTGGAGGCTCCGTGCTCACGCCGACTGAAGGCGCAGTGGACACACTGACTGGAGGCTCCGTGTCCACGCCGACTGAGGGCGCAGTGGACACACCGACTGGAGGTGCCATGTCCACGCCGACAGAGGGCGCAGTGGGCACATCGACTGAAGGCGCAGTGGGCACACCCACTGGAGGCTCCGTGTCCGCGTCGACTGAGGGCACAGTGGACACACCGACTGGAGGTGCCATGCCACGCAGGCACAGTGGGCACACCACCATGTCCACGCCGACAGAGGGCGCAGTGGACACACCGACTGGAGGTGCCATGTCCACGCTGACAGAGGGCACAGTGGGCACACCGACTGGAGGCTCAGTGTCCACGCCGACAGAGGGCGCAGTGGACACACCAACTGGAGGTGCCATGTCCACGCTGACAGAGGGCACAGTGGGCACACCGACTGGAGGCTCAGTGTCCACGCCGACAGAGGGCGCAGTGGACACACCGACTGGAGGTGCCATGTCCACGCTGACAGAGGGCACAGTGGGCACACCGACTGGAGGCTCAGTGTCCACGCCGACAGAGGGCGCAGTGGACACACCAACTGGAGGTGCCATGTCCACGCCAACTGAGGGCACAGTGGACACACCGACTGGAGGCTCCGTGCTCACGCCGACTGAAGGCGCAGTGGACACACTGACTGGAGGCTCCGTGTCCACGCCGACTGAGGGCACAGTGGACACACCGACTGGAGGCTCCGTGTCCACGCCGACTGAGGGCACAGTGGACACACCGACTGGAGGCTCCGTGTCCACGCCGACTGAGGGCACAGTGGACACACCGACTGGAGGCTCTGTGTCCACGCCGACTGAGGGCACAGTGGACACACCGACTGGAGGCTCCGTGTCCACACCCACTGGAGGCTCCGTCTCCACGCCGACTGAAGGCGCAGTGGACACACCGACTGGAGGCTCCGTGTCCACGCCGACTGAGGGCACAGTGGACACACCGACTGGAGGCTCCGTGTCCACGCCGACTGAAGGCGCAGTGGACACATTGACTGGAGGCTCCATGTCCACGCCGACTGGAGGCGCAGTGGGCACATTGACTGGAGGCTCCGTGTCCACACCCACTGGAGGCTCCGTGTCCACGCCGACTGAAGGCGCAGTGGACACACTGACTGGAGGGTCCGTGTCCACGCTGACTGAAGGCGCAGTGGACACACTGACTGGAGGGTCCGTGTCCACGCCGACTGAAGGCGCAGTGGACACACTGACTGGAGGGTCCGTGTCCACGCCGACTGACGGCGCAGTGGGCACATTGACTGGAGGCTCCGTGTCCATGCCTGGAGGCTCCGTGTCCACGCCGACTGGAGGCGCAGTGGACACACTGACTGGAGGGTCCGTGTCCACGCCGACTGAAGGCGCAGTGGACACACTGACTGGAGGGTCCGTGTCCATGCCGACTGAAGGCGCAGTGGACACACTGACTGGAGGGTTCGTGTCCACGCCGACTGAGGGCGCAGTGGGCACATTGACTGGAGGCTCCGTGTCCATGCCGACTGGAGGCGCAGTGAACACACCGACTGGAGGCTCCGTGTCCACGCCGACTGAAGGCGCAGTGGACACACTGACTGGAGGCTCCGTGTCCACGCCGACTGGAGGCGCAGTGAACACACCGACTGGAGGCTCCGTGTCCACGCCGACTGGAGGCGCAGTGAACACACCGACTGGAGGCTCCGTGTCCACGCCGACTGGAGGCGCAGTGGACACACTGACTGGAGGCTCCGTGTCCACGCCGACTGGAGGCGCAGTGGACACACTGACTGGAGGCTCCGTGTCCACGCCGACTGAGGGCGCAGTGGACACACTGACTGGAGGCGCAGTGGACACACCGACCAAAGGCGCCATGGACACACCAACTGAACGGAGGGGGAACGCACTGGTGGGAGGCCGCCTGTGTCACTGGGAGCCCTGTGGTAGCCCTGTGGGCCAGATGCTGTTCCAGTGAGGGCTCACTGATAACAATGGTGATGGAAGAAGAGGGGTCCAGAGGTGGTGTTTTACTGTCCCAAGTATGATGGACACAGTGAGAAGTGGTTATGTCTGAGGGATACCTGCAGAGAGATTTAGAGGTGGTTAATAGAATAGGTAGCCAATGACAGTATTCCTCAAGCTCTACCATCAGGAGATCTCAAGGGTGGAGAGGTGATCAGGAGACAGGGCACAACCCGCCTAGTACAAAGTGGTGCTCTCTTGCTGAATCTCCAGACCCAGAAGCTACTGACTGAAGGTAAGGCTGGTTCTCCAAGGAGTGCGGGCCTGCAACCCCACTGCGAATGCACAGGGCAGTGATTCCCTTCCTCCAGAGGACCTGTGGTTACTTCCTTGGGTGACTTGGGGAAAGGAGTGGACACAAGCATTCTGAAGACATGGGATACATGATCCAAGATGAAATTGATCCTCAGGGACAAGACTCTCTACAGCGTGCCTTTAAGAATGGGGACTTACGGGATTCAGATAATAAATGGAGTTGTATCTCAGGACTAACAGTGGGTCCATCTACCCGGTGACCATCTCCCCTCTTCCAGAATAAATTACTGAGCTGAACGTATTTGGGACTTGTTGGCTCTACCATTTGTTTCTTGGACTGTGGGTTAAAAACTGTTTTAATGGGCGAGCTAAGTGGAAGCCTCTGAAACTGCTCCACCCCTGGGCTAAGA